TTTGAACCACCACAAACCTACCTTGTAGTCAAGTGCTTACCCCAAAGCACCACAGCAGGGTTCAAGTTAATTAGCAACTTTGATTTGTGTAGCACTCCCTGTGCCCCTTTAAAAGGACCCTGGACTGAGGGGTTGGAATAGAGACTCACGAAATAACTGCAAATCACAATAATGGTTGGTTAAGGAACATTCTCATTTTCAGTTGTTTAGAGGCAAACCAGTGAATTATAGAGTTGGAGACTATTTTTTTTTTAGAAAAAAGAGTGAGAATCAGATGTAAAAGATTGAATTTTGTAGGAATTTGGCTTGTTCAAGGTTTGAAAGGTCTTATTTATTTTCATCACAAATTTAGAAAATATCCCTATAGTTATAGGTAGTTATAGGGACAATTGTTGTTGCTGTTAAGTGCCATCAAGTTGGTTCCAAATCACAGTGATGTTGTATAGGGTTTCTGAGGAGTGGCTGGGGGGTTCTGAACCACCGACCATGCAGTTCAAATCAACCTGTGGTTCAGTGCTGTATCCTGCAACACCACTCCAGGTTTATCAATACTCCCTCAAAAACGAGTAAGTGTCTCCTAGCCTCTGTCATAAATGTCTTCCTCATTTCAGGTCATCAATTGTCAAATATTAGGGATTAAATAACTCAGGGAACTACCACCAGAAACGCTGATTCTGTGTTGCAAATCCTTGTTTCAACTTAATTCACAAGGGAGTTTTTGTTGGAAATTAAACCCATCAACTAATGCTGTTATCTCTGAGGGTAATGTGGATACTTTAAAACCATCAAAACTCAAAGACATTTAAATAAATCCTTTATTCTCTATGCATTCTGTATGTATATCGTCAGACTTTTCTGATTCAAAAAGTTGGATTAAAGTCGTCTTTTAAATTTTTATTTTCATGGTTAATACTAGCTTTTATGAGTTAGAAACCCCCTAAAATCAAAGTGCAATGCTTGTTAATAATTTTCCTCTTTGACAGACGTGCAGAAGCAGCTAGAAACTGGATATAACTGCTACAGGAACTAAGTGCAGCTGCCAAGATAAAGAGCTATTTTGAATTGGTTGATGTTGTTGTTCAGTGTGGTCAAGTCAGTTATAACGCATAGAGACAGTATAAAGGGTTTTGAAGGAGCAGCTGGTCACTTTCAACTACCAACTTGTGGTGAGCAGTCCAGTGGTTTTCATCTGCTGCTACACCAGGACTGCATCCTTGGCTGGGTTTTGTTGCTGCTTAGTGCAGTTGAGTTGGTATTGTCTCATAGCCACCCCCAGATGGTGTTTAAGAGGAGTGGCTAGTGGGCTTGAAATACATACCTTGATGTCCAAACCAACCTTGTCATCCAGTTCTTATCCTACAGGAGTAGATACACAGCAGAAGCGATATTGCTTCTCTTCTTCTCCTACCTATATCTTTAGTGTCTTCTTTTAGCAGAATCTAATGGAGCCCTGATGGCTCTGTAGGATAAGCACTGGACAGATTAGTAATTCAAACCCACGAGCCACTTTGTGAAGGAGCTATGGTAGCATAGTGGCTATGAGTGAGGCTGCTAAGCTCAAGGTCAGCAGTTCAAAACTACCAGCGGTTCCATGGGAGAAAGATGAGGCTTTCTGCTCCTGTAAAGATTTGCAGCCTCAGAAATGCTGTACAGGGTTGCTATGAATTGGAACTGACTCCACAGCACACCACCACCACCACCACCACCATCACAGCCACTTTGTGAGAGGAAGATGAGGCTTTCCACTCTCACATAGATTTACAGGTGACTATGGGGTTGCTATGGGTCAAAACCGACTTGAAGGCACTTAACAACAAAACAACAAGGGAGTCCTAGTGTGGTGCTGCGGGTTAATGGGCTGGACTGCAAGGTTGGTTTGAACCTGAAGGTCACTGATAAGCTCACTTGCTGCTACTCAGGAACATTTTAGAGTTTCGTTATGAGTACGAACCTACTCAACAACACTTAACAACAACAAGGAATGACTTTGGGGCTCTGTAAGATAAGCACTGGATTGTTAACCACAAGGTCTTTTGTTCAAACCCAGCAGCCGCAATAAGAAACCATATACATGGTCACCATGAATCAGAACAGACACAATTATATTTAACAACAACAATAATGGAGTCCGTGTGCAGTGCTCAAGGATAAGCATTGGACTGATAATTGCAAGGCTGGTTATTCCAGCGCACCAGTCACTCCTCAGAAACCTGATTCAGGGACAGACTTGACTGCACTTAACAACAACATGAATCAAAATCAAATCTACGGCATTGAGGTTTTGAGAGCATAACTAGTTTAGCAAATGCACACATAATAGTATATAAAATACCCCACTATCTAAATCGAGACAAATTATAATAATATGCATGTGATATGTTTGTGGCATTTTTATTAATAAAAACCAAAGGGTCATTAGAAATTTAGAGCCAGCAGAGCAGCAGTTTTCCAAATGTATGTACTAACATGATGCACTGTGCACAACACCATGGAGACTAGTGAAGCACACATGAGAAGCACTGCGCAGGGCATTTTGTTCATGGTCAAGGGCAGAGGCAACCCTGACTGGGATTTTATCCCCTAGGTAGAAGTTTTCCTCTCCTGAGGACAGCGTACAAGATCAGCAGAGCGTGATGTGCTCTCTTGTCCCTGGTGGGGTTCCTCTATGGGCACCAGGCACTCCTGTGAGTGGAATCTGACATCCCCAAAACATTGTCCTATCAGGAAAACACATCTTAGTTAGGAGGCCCCGGTCTTCTTACCATACTGGCAGTTTTATTCCATGAAATAAAAGTAACTGGTTAACATGTTATTTCTATTTCTTAGGCCTGTCTGAGTTCTTTCACAAGACCAGA